AAATAAAAGATCGAATATAATTACAACTAAAAGAAGTTTTGTCAAACAGGATTGCCAAGAATAAAAACCTAACAATTTGGACATTATTTTAGTAGCATTTTGTAACTAAGTTTTGGGTAATTAATAATGGATTGGACTTCTATCATGTTGGGAAAAACATATGAGAAAATTTGAGAGACTCGTAGGGTTCACTACAGGTCTCGTTTTGATTATCCGAACCGTTTATTATGTAGGTTACAAGTATCGAATCCCCCTAAATTTTTTCATAGGTAATATACATTGAGAGCTCTACATAATAAGCTGTTCAAATAATCGAAACGAGACCCGTGGTGAACCTTATGATTCCCTCAATTTCTCTCATGTTGAAGATCCCAACATAAGAGAAATCCAACCCCATTACAATTATCTCCTTAAAATTTAAATGAAATATAGTAAGTTTTTCACAATTTTAATATAATTATATTAAGTTCTTCTAAGGTTTTAAATAATTTAATACTTAGTTCCCTTTTTATTAATAATACATTAGTTGTATAGCTAGAAAAATGATATTATCATATCTTTTATAATGGAATATATATATTTTTTATTATTTACTCTTGTATTTTCATATTATTTACATTAGTTTCAATCTCTTTAGCCTTACTAAAAGGAAAGTTGATGTAATTATGTAAATTATAAGATTTGTTGCATTTTCTTTAAAAATCAGGATAAATCAATGTAATTTACCCTAAATTTATTTAAATATTGTTTATGAAACTTAGTTTAAAAACAAGTTTCTTGATAAGAGTTTGCATTTTATGGCAATTGTTTACGATTAAGTCCTATATATATTTTACTAACCTTTTAAACCCTAATAAAATATCAAATGATTAACTTATCACTAATTAAATACATGATAAAACTTCGGGTTCTTCTACAATAGTTATTATTTTTTGGGGTGTGTACCATGAGTAAGTAATGACAATTTATTGTGTTGATACATAAATATCATAAGTAAATCACTTCACGACTAAAAGTGTCGGAAAAATTTAGAAGTGATTGGAAATGGACTCCATTTGAATGAATTGGTGCAATCCTTCACGGTCTCTT